TCGGCTTTCACCGTGGACGAAGCGGAGTCCAGCCCGGGGTCGTCAAACAAAAATACTTTTTGAACAAAAATAACTTTATTCAACAATTTCTACTTTTCCGTGTCAGTCTTCTTTTTTTAGCCCTGCGACTTGCAGCTCATGTGTTAAAATTGCTTGCATCACATTTTAAAAATAATCTCAATGGGAGAAAAGTGTAGTCCAGAGTGATAACATTATCATTCTCCTTCTAGTAATTTATTTGTAAGCAAATGAGCATTTTAGAAATGAGCAGTTGAAGTATTACATATATCTTTCTCTTTACTGCATCTTCCAGCTCTTTGGATTCCTAAACCTGATATTGTGGGCAGGAAACTGCTGGTTCATCTACAAGGAGACTCCATTTCATAAGCCGGCCAATCCACCGCCCAACCTAGAGGGGGGAGTTTCCACCTCCTAATTAGACAAGACGGGCTCCTTCCTCTCCTCTCCATTTGTTCATAAAGCAGAGGACATCACCGTTTGTTCATGCCGACACATGTTGAAAAGAAACTACACTTTGATATGCAAAAGCTTAGTTTCTAGCATCATGCATTGCAGTTCACTACATTATAAATGCTCTAAGCTGAATTCTTTATGAATATTTGTTTTTTTTTTATTTTAGTGTCTGTTCAATGGCACTGTCAGAAGCTAATTTTGTCAAGCAGGTAAAAAAGAAACCAAATTTTATTAGACCAGTAGCATTTCAATTACAACTTAGAAGTAAAACTGTTCTAGGTTATTGATGTTTTTCATTATTATTAATTTGTCTAATTTGATATGAAGATGACCTGCATTTCAGTAACTCTAAATGTCCATTACAATCAGACCTCATGAGAAACAAACATTGCAGTTGAAATGTCTCGGAGCACTTAAAACACTAGCACACTAATATCTAGCTCTAGACATGTAAAACTTGTCGATCCTTGTAGTTTTTAATAACTATTTATTGGTTTAAGTGCCTTGTTCTTCATAGGATGTTTTTCCACAGCCACGTCTGAGTCATCTTACATTTTTCAAACTGAAAAATTCGTCTTAGTTTGCGCCCCTAAAGCCTCTGATATTTCGTCTGTAACCTTTATTTTAAATGTTTGTGTGAATTCTCTTTGTTGACTCTTTTTGAAGTGGTATTTGGTAATAAATTACTATGCCAAAGGCCATATTTCATTTGCTATCAGGAAAAAATGTTAACTATTCAACACTAGACATTGTTCAAAAGAAGGAAACACTTGTTTGATAGTTTTTCTACTGTTTAGAGTAGTAATGTTGTCATTATTTGTATTTGGCTGTTATTTGACTTGACACTGTAAATGAAGCGTCTGTGTCACATGGGTTGATGTTTATATTTACAGAAAGAACATTTAATTTTGTGCATCTGTGGCATGCTTTACCATCTTATTTTTACAGAAATAAATGTTTGAGGGGGATTGCATTTAGTTAAATCTTAAAAAATAGAATGATTGTTCATTAACAGTGATCGTCTGTGCAGTTTATGAAAAAAAAATCTAAATTGTCAAGTTTTTTTTTTGCCATTAATATCCTCAGTAGTTCTAATCCTAAAATGAAACTATTCAATACCACATCTAAACTTTTTAATCAACATAAGTAGACTTAAGCACATTAAATCATTGATATGAATGATTATAGGAAAAGAAGTTTGTCTATAATTGTGATTAAAGAGGAACAAAAGTGCCATTTAAAAGTTTAAGTCTTTCCTCAGGTCACATACTGACTAATTTTTGTCGTGGAGCAATCCTTGAATTTGGTTGTGACTTTTCGAAAATATAGGCCATATTTTTGTTGTTGTGTTTCATATCTCTATCCTTAGTTCAGAAAGAAAATCTCCACAAGGCTGTTTGCAGTTCTGGTTTGTATTAAAAGAGGAGAGCTGTATATATTGGTTCGTGTTTTTTTTCCAAAAGGCTGCTGTTTACTACATAACCACTAGATGGTAGTATTGTAAACATAATAAATCCAACAACTAAATTACACTGGTGTCACGTACGTTTCTTTTGGGCTGAAGGTAAAAAAAAAAAAAGGCAAAATCACAAACCATTGCATTGCTTATTATATGAAGTCTTGAATAAGGTAATAATTTAACTAGAACACCAACGATTAAGGTCAAATCTAAACAGACAAAATGAAGCCTATTTTAGAACCATTAAGATTTTTTGTTTGTTTTTCATATGCTTAATTGTGACCTGGAGCACAAACCCAATCATAGCACGGGTATATTTGTAGCAATAGCCAACAATACATTGTATGCGTCGAAAGGATCGAATTTCCTTTTATGCCAAAAATCAGTAGAATATTAAGTAAAGATTATGTTCCATGAATATATTTTGTAAATTTCCTACTGTAAATATATGAAAACGTAATTTTTGATTAGTAATATGCATTGCTAAGAACTTCATTTGGGCAACTTTAAAGGCGATTTTCTCAATATTTAGATTTTATTAGGTTTTTTTTGCACCCTCAGATTCCAGATTTTCAAATAGTTGTATCTATATTGTCATATCCTAACAAACCATACATCAATGGAAAGCTTATTTGTTCAAAAAATTGACCCTTATGACTAGTTTTATGGTCCAGGGTCACAATGCCATGAAAATGCCACAACGCTTATAAAAGGGTTTATTTTATGTAGAGTAAAATATATTTTTATATTTTTAAATATTTCTATTCAATTTCATATCAATGTACTTGCATTACAAATCTATAAAAGGTTTGGCTTCGTCCCTTAAAAATACTGTTAAACAAAGTATCAATAATGCAAATAAAATGAATAAAAACTAACGTGAAAAAAATGTTTTTCACATGTACATGTAGCATGACAAGTGCGCGCGCACGCGTGTCCCCCCTCCGCCCGCGGGAGCGCGCAGTGTGACGTCAGCGCCTTGCCGCGCAGTGATGATGGCGGTGCGTGAACGCGCAGTTAAAGTAATGGCTGCTCTGGAACGGCGGGTGCCTTGTCTCGATGATTTCGTGGGCCAAAGCTGGAGTGTCTGGACGGAAAGAGCCAACCTGACAGCATCGGAGGGTGAGTGAGCACCTCGTCGCCGCTATTTCTCCATCCACCACCAAAAAGTCTTACGGATGTGCTTTATTTTTCGTGGAAAAGGCACGGCATCCCATACCATGTTACCCAAACAAAGAACCTGCGGGGTCCTAGCGCCGGCCGGGTCACGCGCTTGCGCTCTCCCTCGGATCAGTGTCGTCAGAATAGAACGTGTTCCGCGTTCGTTTTGGAACTTCAAATGAAACGAACGCACTCCGTTCTAAACCACGAATCTCCTTTTGTTCGGCGGGCACACCATCAAAGCAGTTCATAGTGTAGGGATCAAATGCAGGTAGTTTTTATTTTGGCCCCACCTAACGTTACAGAAGAGCTTGTGCTTCACAGATGCCCAGTTCATGACACAGATTGAATTCTACACTGAACATCTTGGGAAATAAAACCTAAACTATTGACTGGATCTCATATTAAGACTCTCATTAAACCCCACAGTATGCTTAATTCAACATGTGCCCCCTTTCTCACAGTTTTAACTCAGTATATTGCATATAAGACTGTAACCACACATATTCTGGACCAAATATAGTCCACCTTAGAAGAGCCCATTATAGGTCTGATTATTGGAGGGCACAGGTCCTTCTCAAGGTTTCTATGGTTACGGCTTGAGTTAGTGGGTTTAGAAGGTTGGATTTATATAAGATGCCCATATGAGCTGTTTTGCTAAAGCAGTGATGATAATGCATGGAAGTCTGTTCTTATATAATGGTAATGTTTTATGTACCCGTGCTAACATAAACTTCCTCCAACCATTTTTCATAGGGTCAGATGGAGATGAATACAGCAAGAATGGCAAAAAAACAGTGGAAACCATGACACTGAGGAAAGAGGGTAGGTGTTGGTACACAACGGTATTAACATAAGCCCATTTAGTGAAGGACTGATACATAAGCCGATTAATTGACTGGTGTTTGGCTGTTTTGAGATTTTTGACATTAAAAACATGGTGGTTCTTCCTGTCAGGTCCAAATTTTATAAACAGCCGTATCAGTAGATAATATACGTAAATGTTCTTTTTGTGAAATTCAAGTGTGTCATGTGTCGTTTAATTTCAGTAGTTTAAGTACAACAGAGCTATTATTACAGTGTTATAGTGTGAATTCAGGCAAATTACCCTGTTTAAACAGTGCAATTTACTTGAATTCAGACTATCGGCCTTATATCAGCCATAAACCAGTCTTCTCTTTAAATTTTGGCATCAACCATTGAAATTCCCATATTAGTCAGCCTGTAAACCTATTCTAACATACTATATTTTCATCCTCCTTGTAAAACCCCTTCAAATTTAACATTTCTCTGAAAGGGTTTTAATGATGAACTTAGTTGATGTTTTTGCAGTTATGTGAAAGAAGGTAGCGGTCAACCATTACTTTTTTTTTAATTATTTTTATAGATTTATTTTTGGCGTTTTTTGCCTTTTTATTTTGATAGAACAGTTGAGAGAGAGAGAGAGAGAGAGAGAGAGAGAGTGGGGCAGGATCAGAAAATGTCCACGAGCTGGGATTCGAACTCGAGACGCCCGAAGCACAACATCGCTATATGTCGTCGGCGCTAATATATTATTCGTATGTGTATAATATAATTTTTTCTTCTATTTTTAGTTTTAATAGAGGAGTTTTAACTTAATTGTGCAACCAGCAATGTTTTCAGCCAATGCTGATAACCTTAAGATGATCAAATATTGGACTATTACTAGTAGGCACTGTAGACACATTTTCTGTAGTTTGAGTTTTCTAACAAAGCTTTATACACACACAGAATTAATCTTTCTCTTTGAGTGCATTTGGAAACATTTCCTGTTTTCTTTATTTTTCAAACAAAGCGAATTTTCCCTATTGTTTGGTATGCTTCTGCAGATATGTCCATCTTCGGTCATTATCCTGGGCACGATGACTTCTATCTGGTTGTTTGCGGTCACTGCAGTCAGGTGGTGAAGCCTCAGGCGTTCGAGAAGCATTGCGAGAGGAGACACGGCCCTCTGGGTAAGCTCTATGCACACCTCTGCTCCACCCCACCTCCACCTCAGCAGCAGAGGCCCCGTCATGGACACACCCCGCCCTCTCACGGAGCCTCCTCTTGGAGTGGCAGGAACCAGAACGTCGGGCCGCCGAGGGCGTCTCCGCAATCTCCCTCGACGCCGCCTCAGTTCAGACACTTGAAACCTCCGAAAGATGGAATTTGGTAAGATTTACTAATATGATCTTGTTTGTGAATGTTAAAAGAGTGTCTGAAGTGTAATCCTAATTTTACCTAATTTGATGATGAAGAGTTCAATGTTAGTTTTTTTTCCTCACAAAATTATATATATGTATCCACTTTAAAGAAATAGTTCACCCAAAAATGAAAATTCTGTCATTAATTACACTCATGTCATTCCAAACCCGTAAGACCTTCGTTCATCTTCAGAACACAAATTAAGATATTCTTTATGAAATCCGAGAGCTCTCAGATCCTCTATAGGCAGCAACACAACTGACACATTCAAGACCAGAAAGGTAGTACGAACATCGTTAAAATAGTCCATGTGGCATCAGTGGTTCAACCATAATTTTATTAAGCTACGAGAATACATTTTGTGCATA